TTGTGTATCTTCTTTGGAAAAACGTATATTCAGGTCTTTTGCCCATTTTAAAATTGGATTATTTGTTATTATTATTATTATTATTTTGCCTTTGAGTTGTACAAGTTTCTTACATATTTTAGATATTAATTTGCAAACGTTTTTTCCCATTCCATAGGTTTTCATTTTGTTGATCATTTATTGTGCTGTGTAGAAGCTTTTAGTTTGATATAGTTCCACTTATTTATTTTTGCTTTTGTTGCTTGCACCTTTGGAGTCATATCCAAAAAATTGTTGCCAAGACCAAAATGTTAAGGAACTTTCCCTATGTTTTCTTCTGGGAGTTTTACAGTTCGGGTCTTATATTTAAGTTTTTAATTCATTTGGAATAAGTTTTTGTGACTGATGTAATATAAAGGTCCAATTTCACTTTTTGTATGTGAATATCAGGTTGTCCCAGTGAAGAGGAATTTTCACTCAAAAGGCTAACTTTAATCAGCTCTTTGTTCTGCTTCTGTAGATACGCTTGCTGCATAGGTCATAGGGCAGGGTGACCTCGAAATTAACTAAAGACTCATCTTCCCTATTGCTTGTTCTGTCTAAATAACGAATGTAACTGCCTGCAACTCATAGCAACTCCCGCGCTCTGTAACCGTCTCAGGACAAATTAACCAATCAGCCCACACCAACTAAGTCCTATAAAAGCAAAGTTTCCCCTGAGCTCGGGGCCCAGATCTTTAGAGCGCTAGCTCCTCTGGGACTGCCAGCATAATAAACCTGAGTTCTCCAACTCTCCGAGTTGGTGCTTGCTTTCTCGCTGGTCTGATTTTTGCAATATTTCTGCAACACCAGCGTCATTTATGGAAGAGACTATCATTTACACATTGAGAATTCTTGATTCCCTTGTCAGAATATTAATTGACCATGTATGCGTGGGTTTATTTTTTTGGATTCTTGAGTCTGTTCCATTGGCATATGTGTTTGTTTTTATGCCAGTACCATACTGTTTTGATTGCTGTAGCTTTGCAGTATAGTTCGAAATCAGGAATTGTGATGCTTCTATCTTTGTTTTTTCTCAGGATTGCTTTGACTATTCGGGACCTTTTGTGGTTCCATATGAATTTTAAGATTTTTTTTTCTATTTCTGTAAAAAGTGCCATTGGAATTGAGATTTCGTTGAATCTATAGATGGCTTTGGGTAATGGACATTTTAATAATATTAATTTTTCTGATTTGTGAACATCTATTCATGTTTTCAGTTTCTTTCATCAATGTTGAGAAGTTCTTAAAACTAATATAATGATACACTTTCCAAAGCCCCGTTCCTGGAGGCTGATTCAGTCTTGGAGAGGCGCAAGAACTTGCATTTCTATGTGCTTCGACACAGATGGTCATGACCACACTTAGAGAAATACTGCTGTGAGGCTTGAAATACTGTTCTTGGGTTTCTATGACGAGGCCCAGAGTGCACTGCTTGCTAACTACACTTTTGATGGAGGCATTGTGACACAGGGCTAGGAGAACTGGCTCTGGAGTCATTTTTTAGCTCAAATCATGTTGTTGAGATTATTAAATGTGAGATTATCCACATATTCTTTGTGTATACTTGAACAAGCTACTTCTTTGAACCTCAGTTTCATCTTCTCTAAAATGGACATAAGTAGTAACTACCTTATTGTTTTATTATGAGGATTCAGTGAACTGAACAAGAAGAGTAAATTACATAGCCCAATACACTCAGCACATATAATAAATGGTAAATAGTTTTCTCCTTCTCCTTCATTCTCTTTCTAAATTATTTGGCCTTATATGACAGCCCAGATTGTCTTAGAGATTCCGTGTTGTTTGTTTGTTTTTGCATTTTTTACAGCTTTATTGAAATAAAATAGACAATTAGTTGCTCATATTTACAGTGTACAATTCAGTGATTTTTTTTTCAATTATAGCTGGCATACAATAATATATTAGTTTCAGTTGTATAGCATAGTGATTAGAAATCTATATAACTCACAAAGTGATCACGCCAATCAATCTAGTAATCCTTTGCCTCCTTACATATTTATTACAGTATTATTGACTTCTGCCCAGGAGATAGATTTGCTTCTGATTCTTGTTCCAACAACTCAGTATTCCCTTGTAAATCCCTGGCACCCTTGAAGCAGCCAACCCAGCGATAGTGCTCAGAGCAAGTAAGTCCATCACTGTGAAAGTCCAGTTGCAACCTCTTTAAGAGGAACGTCTGCACCTGCCAGCTGCAGCTGCCACAGCCTCTGTCTCATTCAGACGCTTGGGACTGGGCAGCCTTGCATCTCCGCCCCTCCTACCTCCTTCCATTGTAGAGTGATTTCTTATTTCTCTCCCTAGTTGTAGGGCTTCTCTTAATCCAGACCCCAGGCAACTCTGCTTGCTCTTTGCTTCGTGGTTCTGTCACAACTCTGGCCTTGTCACAAGAGAAGACATACAAAAGCCTATACTGTCTATGCCATCTTGCCCAGTCCTCCCTAGAGATTCTGGTTTTAATAGTATCGGAAGTTTGGGCCACTTGGTTACTTTTTTGTCCAATAGAAGCTTCGAATTTACTATTTAATCCACTTGATTTCTTACAAAATAAATCTCCCTTTTTTCCTTTCTGTAGAGAATAGTAGGCCTACAGAAAGGAAAAGGGAGAGGGATTTTTATGTCCAAATTACAATGCATTTCTAGATATGATTATTCTTAGCTCAGAGTTTTAAAATTAGCAGGATGAAGGGTCATCACAAAAATCATATCGAGATTCATTGGGCATTTTCACTGGGAATTGGGCTTAGGGTTGTATATCCCTTTCGTGGTATAGTCCTCTTTAATTGTGCTCAGCAGCAGTATGAGATTCTCAAGCACAGGAATTATTGTGATGATTTTGGGATATAACATTCTCTTGCTTTTGGAGAACTAAAATGATGCTATCTCTGTATGGAATAGACAAATGACCATGCTGGGAGCCTTATTACCTGTCCTGGGGAATAGAGGTCAGTACCAAGCACAGATAAGATCCCTGAGCTCAAAAAGTTTCTCTTAAGTTTCTTTTATTGCTTTTGAGCCCCTTAAGAATGCACCTGATTCCTAGGGACTTTTCTTCTTTTCCATTCTTTCTCTGTTCCTTGGCAAGAGATCTATAAACTTCTCTGATTATAGCACCTCAGACATTTAGTATTAACAAAAATTTCTTATTGGTACTGTCAGTGTCCAGGGCTTCTTTTCTGGCAAGTGATGGAGGTTTGTAAAATAACTATTGCCTTTGGAATTTACTGTTCTTAAATCGTTATGGAGGCATAGTAAAAAGGTCAGGCCAGTTCCCATTTTGCATCAGGCAGCTAGCTTTATGACAAAGCCCCATAAGCATCAGATGATGAAAGCCAGCAGTATCCATTAAGACAATCTTTTCTATTTTTATTCTTTGTGAAACATAAAGTCTGGTTAAGGTAGCTTAACTTGTTTGTTGTTAAAGAGGCACCCAGCAAAATGGTGATAAGACAAAATGCTGCAGCATCACAGTATGCTGTCGTTATTGCTGACCTTTCTTTGCTCAGTAGTGACACATTAGTGAGCTTTCAAGGATTCTCTTTGTATCTCAGTATTGGAGAGAGATTAAAGCAATGAGAGTCTACCAATATTTTAATCACTTCTTTCCTAACTTTGGTCAGAGCTTCTTCACTTTTAATAACTTTAGGTTTAGACCCTTCGGATTTTTCCATATGTCATGAAGCTAGATCATTACAATCATTTGTTTGGCCTATGTGCCCTTAAAAGTTATGTCACTCAAAGTCAACAATATCAACTAAAAAGTAGCTTTAAGTGTCTGTATGGCTGGATAAAAAGAAAAATATGGTCCTGTACTTAAGGGGCTTACACTCAAATATTGATAAAGCTGATATTGATAGATATAAAAAGTACATAAACCACTTCGATGGTGCATTTTATGGCATGTGAATTATATCTGTTTTAAAAAACTGCATAGACTTTGAAACAAAAAGTGCATAAATAACATTCTAGGGGTAAGTACAAATTGCAGAATAGTTATAGAAAATTAATATTGGAAAAATTTGGTTAGAGAATTATTAAGGGGGAATTTTCTTCTTTCTAGTTCTAAATTTATTGAAGAGAATGAATTATGAGACCCATTTGAAGAGAGAATAGAGAGGCTTTGGAAAAAGTACAATCTGTGCTTAAAACAAAACTGGCAAGAAATCTAGTGGATAAGGTTGACATTATGAAATGAGTCAGTGAATTTGAGAGAAGTGGAAAATGAGTGGTATTCATGGAAACTGATTGAGAAGGCAAAGAAAAATAAGAATCTACCACTTAGATTTCCCTTTTGGAGTTTGGTCCTTTGTAAGTGCTTGCTTGCTGCTGTTCTCGCTCTGTATTGCTTAAAGCTCACTGAATAGGTAGGTCTTTGTTTGCCCACACAGGCTTGACTTTAAACCTACTCCTGCTCTCAGAGGCATAGGTGAGGCTTTGTGCCCTTTGTGCCCTTCCAAGGTGGCTTGAGCTTTTGGGGTTTCTTGTTCCCATCAGTGAACCAATGATGGGAGGTGGCCCATTAACACCCACCCCACCACATGGTTTGTGATTTCAGCTATATAAATCTTAAGTGTCAGCATGGGGAAATTTAGGTATGACAGACCCCTCTAATTGTGCTGGGCTGATGGTGCCAAACCTAAAACTAGATCTTGTTTTGTTTGTTTTCCACTAAAACCTAGTATTTGAAGAAGAACCAATTTTAAGTAACTGAATGTTTTCAGTTTATTAGGGATGATATTTAGCCATTTTTTAAAATAATCAACTGATAGCCCATTCTGTCACATTATTAAATCATTGTTTCAGTCTTCTGGGAGAAGTAGAAGCCTCTAGACTTAGTGAAATGTTTAATCACCATATCTATTACAGATTGTAAGTTTTAAATCATGAAAAGCCTGACATAGGCATAATTTTATTTTTTTATTGTTGTGTTGTTGTTGTTGTTTAAATTTTAAATTACCAAGGAACCTCAAACCAGTTACCCAGCTATATGTCAGTGTGGATGCTAGCACCAAAGATAGCCTGAAGAAAATCGACCGCCCACTCTTCAAGGATTTCTGGCAAAGATTCCTCGACAGTTTAAAAGCCTTGGCAGCAAAGGTAAGAATGATGACATCTTTAAAAGAAAAAAATAAATGAAGTGGAAAGAGGTTATTTTCCTTTCTTAAAAAAAATAGACTAAATAAAATCTTTAGCTTTCATTATTTAATAAATATTTACTGAGTTCTTAAGTTTGTAGCACTCTGCCATATGTATATTTGCCCTTCACGTATTTAGGCAGAGAGTAGTAGTAGTACATAGCAACTCTAGAAGAGGTGTTCACAAGTAATATATGTTTAAGTATGAAGTTAATTTTCCTGAATTCCTAGAACCAAATTTTCAACCTGATAAAGCACATATCCTCAGAATGTCCAAATTTAATATCTTTTCCTACAGACATTTGCGCCTCCTTACACGTTCTCTTATGGCATACTTACTTTCCATTTCTTTTAGACTTAAAGTCAGCTTCTGGTTCTTCTTTTCCTCACATCTCAATAGTTGGTATTTTCTGTTTGTTCTACTCTTCTTCTCTTGTAGCCATTTCCTCTTTTCAGTTCTCTTTGCTTCTGCCCTGCAGTTCTTCACGTTGTTCCCAAATCTGACTGAAAATGAGAATCACTATAGGAGCTTAAAAAATTACAATTTCCTATTTCTAGTGGGATTTGAGAATCTGCATTTTTAACATCCCAGATGATGTACTATGCAGCCAGTTATGGGAGTCACTGACTCAGAAAAACTCCTGTTCTCTCCTTTGTCCAGCAGTTACTTTGGCATCCCTAACCTTCTGGCCCCACTGCACATTTCTGGAGTTATTGTTCATGATATTCCCAGGAATGCTGTACTTCCCTGCTGATGTTGCTATTTCTGCAGATGTGCCCTGCGCTTAGTTTCTGAGCCTTTGGTTACCTCTTTAAAGCCTAGAATGTCCTTTCCATTTCCTTGACTTGTAGAAATTCAATGCAACCTTCAGAGGCTCAGCTGCATTGCTGTCTCTACCATGAAGCCTTTTCTAGTTGCAATTAGCTGCTCCTTTCTCCATTCTCAAGTTTTATATCTATAAAATGCTTATTTCTTCTGTTTTATCCTAGCCTCTTTCCCCAACTGGATTTCTTACTCATGTATGAGTTTCACATGATGTCTGGCACAGCACATTTTATGGTATTTGATAATTTAAAAAAAAAAAAAAAAAAGAATGAATGGAAACTCACTAGACTTTTGTAGTGGTAAGATGTACTGTATACATTTTCTGACTCTTTAGCTGATTAAATCTCCTCCCCGCCCCTGTTTTATGCTTGAGAAGTTAAATCAATGCCCTTTTTGTCGATTAATGCTGATATTATTTAAGAAATGGAAAATAGGCATTACTTTGGTTTCTGATCTGTTTTGGGTTATTTTTTAAAGCTGGCAGGTATTGGTGCTTCTTGGGTTCCTAAAATCTCTGTCTCTGGACTTTACCTTCAGCTATATCCTCTTCAATTGTTAAGACAACAGGTAGGAGATACATGACATAAAAATTAGAATGGATTTAGATGGGAGTAAACAGCAGGAGCTGCCACTGTCAGATACATCTGAGACTGTTATCTTTACTATATTCTGAGTCAGTGTGGAATATGAGAAGTAGGCATTAGCAGAGTGGCTTAATAGCTTGCTTTTTCTCTTTTGAGTAAATTTTCCATAGTGATTGCTTATCTTAAAGCTATAGACCTTTAGATGTCCAATTCAATCGTAAGTGTTCTGGGTTGACTCACTGATAGTAATGTAGCAATTTAAAGTTCTACAGTATTTTCTAACCTTAGAGCTTCTTACATATGACATCATTATTATGTCCATGTGAACTCTAGTTGAAAAAATTTCCTTGGGCTATTTAAAATATCTGCCTGCAGATTAGGGCAAGCACTTTCTAAGCATTTTGTAGCAATTAGAGTTTATATTTCTCTTTCTTGTATTGTTTATGTTATCATTTAAGAAAGAAGATTTGTGGCAGGAAGCTGCTCTTTAAATAAAAAGTTTTCTTTAGCTCAAGCTGTGTTATTTCCTTTTGAATATTTGGTGTTATTGGTATAGTAGATACTATGAGGTAACATCTGTTTTACTATTTTTTAACACTCAAAAATAAAACTTGTATGTTGCAACTATATTAGCTTGGGTCAAACATATTATTACAATAATCTGATATAATGCATTTTTAAATAAAAACTTTAAAATAAAAGTGCCATTTCAGATATTTCAATTAGAACACCCATACTGTTATCTTCTGTTACTTGTTTAGTTTTTTAGTATACCTGAGCAAGGAAAACCATTTGAAGAGAATTTTTTGAACTTTATAAATCAAAAGGAATTTTGATTTGTCTCAAGAGTTCCAGCCTATTTATAAGCTAGTGCAACTCAAAAATGCAGAGGAAGGTAGCATTTTTTTTTTTTTCCTAACTCTCGGCAAATATGATGTTTACATTTCCAGATCTTTATCCTTTGTCAAAATTTTTCTTGTCAAATATGAGGAGAGAAATATATTGGTACTTGAGTATGTGGGGCTAAAAAGCAATTCCGTCTCGATAAACAGCAAGAAATATGTTAGCTTCAATTTCCATCCATAACAGCTACTTGTCATACAGTCCTGTTTTTAAAAAAGAGAAATCCATCTTGTACAAGATACCACTGCCTACTTTTGGCAATAGACTTTTATTAGCAGCATGGTCAGATGTGTTTCTGCTGGCACATTATGCCAAATTGAAGATCTAGTAGGAAAACTGAAATAATTAATCCTTTTCCATGTTTAAGCAATAGCATTAACATTCTTGAAACCTCATATTCGAAAATAAAAAAGATGAGAATAATTCCCTGCATTATACATTCTTAGATATCAAGACTGAACATTAGCCTTCTTTCTACAGATGTGAACATGCTCTGACCTGACATTATTGGAGTAATGTGCCATTCTTAAGAAGGGCTTACTGTACATTAATGAGATAGCTCTGTATCTAATATTTAAATAACCAATGTATCCATGTGGCTCACAATTTTCAGATTAAAAAACAAACATTTACTATTTGACCTTCTTATCTTTGATTATAAAAATGTTACATGTTGATTATAGAAGTTTTGAGGAAATAAAGAGGAATATAAAGGAGCAAGGAAAGAAATTACCCGTAAAATTCAAGGACCTTGAGACAACCACTGTTAACATTTCGAAGTACTTCTGTTTAATCCTTTGAGATGGTGGGATAAAGGAGATTGCTTTTTTACATATGACTCAATTTTATCTGCTTTTATTATTATTAACATTAGTCATAACATTTTTCCATGGTATTAAAACTTCTCTATGACCTTCATGTTAAAGGCAGCTTAGTCTATCAACTTACTCAGTGTGAGATGATATTTTATGTATATAACACATATAATATATAATATAGATAATACATATATATATAGACCTCCATCCCTGGTTCCTGACACAGAGCAGCTAAAAACCTTGTAAGTTCCTAAGTGGTAAGAGCAGTGGGAACATCTTTTGTTTTAATGCTATGAGTCTGGGTGTGCTCTTGGAAGGCTCTCAGATGGGCGCTATTCGTCAGAAAGATCATGCCATAATGAGACACTTGAAACTTTCAGTCCCTTCTCTCCTCCCACCTACTTCTCTAGAAAGGGGAAAGTGGATGGAAATTGAGTTAATGAACAATCATGTCTACATGGTAAGCCACCTTATAAATCCCAAAGGTGCAGAATTCCGGGAGCTTCCAGTTGTCGAACACACACACAGAGGTGCTTGGAGCGAGCATGGAAGTTCCTTGCTCCTTCCCATGTGCCTTGCCCTACACATCTTTGTCTTCTGGATGTTAATCTGTATCCTTTATCATTTCCTTTTATAATAAGCTGGAAACAGTAAGTAAACTTTTCCTGAGTTCTGTGAGCCACTCTAGCAAATTAACAGAACCCAAGGAGATCATGGGAACCTCCAATTTATAGCTGATCAGTCGGAAGCACAGGTGACAACTTGGACTTGCGATTGACATCTGAAGTGGAGTGGGGACAGTCTTGTGGGACTGAGCACTTAACCTGTGGGATCTGATACTATCTTCAGATACTATATCCGGTAGTAAATGTGGTAGTAGTGTAAGAATAAATATGGGAGGGATAGTATGTTTTTTCCTACTCAGCGCCTTCACAATGTCATCAGAGATACGGGTTCCTATCTTTCTCTTCACATTCAACATATGACTTTCATTCTGAAGTTTACTTAATGGTCCAAAATGTTTGCTAGAGCTCCAGCCATTATGTTGGCATTGCAGCCTTCGTTTTGAGCAGGCAGCACAAGGATGGGTACAATAAGGACACATATTTTTTTAAAGATGATTTTCACAACTCTTCCATTTACATCTTATTGGCCAGAACTTAGTCTTTTAATCACAGCTTGCTGAGGAAGGCTGGGAAATGTATTCTTTTTGCTGAGTATACTGTTGTTTCTACATAGTTCAGGCATTCTGCTTTTAAGGAAGAAGGGGACAATGGGTATTGGTAGGCGACTAGCTATCTGCCATCGATGAACTGAGCATTAAATTCAAATGTTAGACAGGTAACAGCAAAATAAGCCTATTAGGAAGAAGGAAATAATCAAGATAAAAGAAGAAATCAGTTAATTTGGGGAGAAAACCTAAATATTAGACATAGACAGTTATTGATGTTTATTACTAAAGTAATCTCAGTGGTTTGGTGGAGATAGAAGGCAGATTGCATAATGTTTGTAAGACGGACAGAGAACAAATGGCGTCTGAGAAGGGAGACCGAAGCCTTTGGTGCTTGTTTAGGTGGTGGTCGTAGTTGCTTGATTTGAACATGTAGGTAGAGAAGGAGAGTTGATATTTTTATATCTCAGATATATGTTTTATTTCTAATTTCTAGAATAATGGTTTCATCAGTGTCCCAGGATTTAGTTATTGTGATATGTTATTAAAATAAATAATATTATTTACATTCACTCAGCACAGTGTTTTTACTAAGATTAAAAAAAAAATTAGTAATAGTCCTGGACAACAAATTAGAACTATGGTCACTTCACAAGGCTT